GGGAAGATATATGAAAAGACATGGGAAGAATGCTATGGAAAGATGGGGCAGAGTCAGGGAGTATGATGCCACGAACCAAGGACCATCCAGGGCTATGAGGAGCTGGCAGGCACAGGAAGGATCCTTCTCCTAGGGATTCAAAGAAGCATGGTCCCACTCACACCTCTATTTCAGACTCTTGTCTCCAGATCTGTGAGGCAAGACGTTTCTGTTCCTCAGGGAAATTAGTACAGACACTAACACCCAAACTTAAGAAGTGATAGCTTCCTGACAGTGAGCTGCCATGTGAAATCAGAAACTGTCAACATTTCATACTGTCTTACCAACACCGTTCTTATACTTGGTACTTTGTGTAGATCTTCATCGGCTGTACTTATTCATTAGGATATGAGGACATTCCAAATAGTAACAACTTTTTAAAAAGTGTGTGTGTGTGTGTGTGTGTGTGTGTGTGTGTGTGTGTGTGTACACTTGCCACAGTCATGCAATTACCCAAGGAGACCAGAAGAGGACATTGGATCCCCTGGAGCTAGAATTACAGAAAATTGAGTACTGGGCACCAAACTCTGCCCTTCCCAAGAGCATCAAATGCTCTTAACTTCTGAGTCATCTCTCCAGCCCTGTCCACACTTCTTAATATAATATCATAAAATTGCATTTGTTAACATTTCTAAGGACATCATCAGGAAAGATGAGGCAACTGTTGGGAAAGCATCAAACCCAAGATATTAGATAAAAGTTTCGGAAGTTTTCATTTTACCTCTGATGCTCTAAAATTCAACACTTTCAACAAATACTATGATTTTTTTTGTTAAAGTGATGATAAGCATCACACATGCTTGAGGAACATGTCTTCCCAAGCTTTTGCGTAGTCACAAAGGTGTATCAGACACTTTTAAAGTAAAGCTCAGTGCTCCCTGTAAAGAGCAGCTAGGTATGCTTGCATATCTAGCCTTGATGAGGATGTAGAATAAAAGGACTATACACAGTTAGTAGTGACCTTAAATTGATGCAGACATTGTGGGGTAACAGTCTCAAAGTTCTTCCAAAGCACTAAAAATAGAGCTCACTGTATGATCCAACAAGTCTACTTCTGGGCACTCATCCAAAGGCACTGAAATCGGTATCTCAAAGAGATGTCATCGGTGTTTACTGTGGCAGTATCCAGAAGAGAATGGACAAGAACAGAGCCTCAGCTCCCACCAATGGGTAGAGGGACAAAGAAAATGTGGAGTACATAGACACAATGGAATACTACTCAGCCTCACGGAAGAAGAGAGCTCTGCCATCAGCAATGATGTGAGTGAGCACAGACATTATGCTAAGTAGAATAAGCCAGGTACACAAGGACAAACACTACATGATCCCAAAGAGTCCAGTTCATAAAAGCAGAGAACAGATGGTTCTGTCAGGGGATGGGGGTGGGAAAATGGGGGCATTTGTGTCAGTGGTTATGAAATTTTAGTTATAAGATTAATTTGTTCAGGAAAACTAATGCACTGTATTATATCTATAGTGCAGTAATAATGCCATGCATTCTTGAAATTTGCTGAGTATATATTCAGTATTTATACCAAAAAAAATACAGTGAAGTGTCAGTGGAATACTAACAAGCTTGGATGTTATGTAATCATTTCAGTATGTATACAGTATTAAAACACCATGTAAACATTAAAATTAGGTGTTTCAAAAATATGAAGTAAAATTATGAAATATTACCAGAATTAAAAGAAATACATGGTTGTGAGAGGCGGTGACAGGAGGATCAGAAGTTCAAGGTCAGCCTCACCTACATAGTGAGTTCAAGGACAGCCTGCGGTACATTAGACCCAGTCCCCCAAATAATAATAAATAAATAAGAATTTTAAAGAAAGAAAAAATATGTACTTGTTTCCAGACATAAAAGCCTTAAATATAACACTTAAAAAAAACATTGAAAGCATAAACATTTAAAACAGTTTTAATTACCTGAATGTACTAAAACGTTGACTCTGCTGGCAGGCTGGGGATCACCAATTATATTAGTTACTGTTGCTATGGTGAAGTGTCCTGACAAGTGCACCTCGAGGGTACAGTCCATCATGGTGAGTGGGCCCTGGTGGCAAGAGCTTGAGGATGCTGGTCACGTGGCGTTCACAGTTGGTCCAGAACCGATATTTAGGATGGCCTCCCTCTCTCAATTAACCTAATCTAGAAAAATCACAAAGCTAGTCAGCACTCTGATATTATTGCCCAGCTTTGAACTCTAATTGTCTCTTTACAGATCTGGTATCCAGTGTCCTTGAAAGTTTTTACTTTTTAAATTTGTGTGTGTGTGTGTGTGTGTGTGTGTGTGTGTGTGTGTGTGTGTGTGTGTGGTGTATGTACATGTTAGGTGTGTGGATAAGAGTGGCCATGCACCTACGTGTGCATGTGTGTAGAGCCCAGAGGTCAAAATGAGTGTCTTCCTTTATCCCTTTCTACCTATTGTTTGACAAGCCCCTCACTCAACCTGGATGCTCAATCCCAGCATTGGGGTTATAGACCTTCATCAACATATCTAGCTTCCATTTTTACAAGGGTGCTGGGATTCTGAACTCAGGTCTTCATGCCTACAAAATGAATACTTATCCACTGATCATCTCCCCAACTCCCAGAGGTTTATTTTGTTTGTTTGTTTGTTTCATTTTTGGAGACATGATTTTGGTGCCTGTCCTGGATCTTGCTGTGTAGACCAGGCTGGCCTCGAACTTACAGAGATCCACCTGGCTCTGCCTCACAATTGCTGGGATTAAAGGCTTGCACCACCACTGCCCAGCTCAGAGTTTTAACTCTTTAAGACTAACCACCTTTGAGCTCCAACATCTAACATATTTGATGTGTGTGATCATGTGTGTGCATTCGTGTAGGGGATATGCATGTGTCAGAGATTTATGTCAAGTGCCTTCCTGCTGTGGGATGTCTTTCTGTACTCTGTGAATACATGTTGCTCTCATTGGTTGATAAATAAAGCTGTTTGGACAACAGCGAGGCAGAATAAGGTTAGGCGGTACATTCAAACTGAAGACAGAGATGAAGAAGGTGGGGTGAGGCGACACATAAGCCCATCGCTCAAGGAGCAACAAGATGCCAACAGACTGGTAATGCCATGGCCATGTGGCAAAACATAGATTAGTAAGAATGGGTTGAGATAAGATGTAAGAGCTAGCTAGCAAGAAGCCCGAGCCGTAGGCCATACAGTTTGTAATTAATATAAGCCTCTAAATGATTATTTTATAAGCAGCTGCGAGAGATCATGTGGGAGAGATTTATCCAGACTGTGGGGCTAGGCAGGACCTAGAAATGTCCCCCTACACCTCCCTCTATCACTCTCCATCTTTGTTTTGAGGCACAGTCTCCCACTGAACTTGGAGCTTGTTACTTGGCTAGACTGGCTGGCCAGCTATCCCCAGAGATATTCCTGCCTTTGCTTCTCTGGCACTTTGACTATACTTATACCTTGGCATGTCTAACTGGAGACGTGTTTTTAACTGGAAATATGAACTCATGTCTTCATGATTTTGTGGCAAGCACTTTATAGACTGAGCCATCTCTCTAGCACTAGCAAATTTTTATAATACATGATAAGAAAAAAAATCAAAATTGTTGCATGAGTCGACCCATTGTTCTATATCCCAAGGCCAGTTCCCTTCTGCCACTACAGAAGGATGCTCCTGGTGTGTAAATGCTTTATTGACATTTGCTGTGGCTCAACAAGGCACATCTTGAGATTTTTTCTTTTCTCCCACCCAATGCTAACCAGGCCTGACCCTGCTTAGCTTCTGAGATGAGGTAAGGTCATGTACATTGAGGATCTATGACCATTGACACATCTTGAAATTTGTCATTCCAGTGACCTTAAATAGTGTCATGAAATAAATGGATTCCTACTGAATTTGAGCTACCTGTAAAATCAAAATCTAGACTTCAAACTCCAGACATCTAGAATTCTATTAGATAATTTTCATGTGTGATTAAGATTCTTCTTGGAAAATTTTTATTTCATAGTTATCCAATCTTTGTACATATTCTAGTAGAAGATTTGGCATTTACAATTATAGCCTTAGAGTTAAGATCTATTTATGCAGAAAATTAAAATATTTTCATAATAAAAGTATGTACTTCCATAAAATTCAATATTTGGTTGAAAGTGAACCAACATCTTAGTAATTAGTATCTTACATAGAGATATGCAATAAATATTAAGTTGAACTGCTATTGAACATTCTACTTTAGGGTCTCCTGAGATGGTTCAGCAGTTCAGAATGCTTGCTGCTCTCCCTGAGAGTCCAACTTCAGTTCCCAGCATCCATGTCATATGGTTCACCATCACTTGGAACTCTAGCTCCAGGGGATCAGACACCTTCTGCTGGCCTCCTTGGCCACACATGTGACATACGTACATGCATACACACACCAAAAAATAAAAGCATGTCTTTTAAGATTTTTTTTCTTGCCTTAGTTCTGATTTTTAAATTTTAGTCCCTTAGCCTCTGATCATCTCAAGGAAGAATTGTTATCAAATATAAATATAAATATAAATGGTGCCTTTTGATTTGAATCTAATATCAAAGGCATCATCATCATCAAGATTAATAAAACTACAAGCATGCTCAAACCTAGTCAATTTAAACTAAAGTATATTAAGATAATTGGTTCTGCTCCCTGGGTCATAGAATTTTTTGTAATTTTACATAACACCAAGCATTGGAGATTCAAAAGGATTTAAAATGCATGCCTGTGATGGCTCATTATGTGTCGACTTGACTGGGCAACAGGATGCACAGATGTTAATTGGAGGTATTTCTGTCAAAATATTTCTAGAAGAGGTTAGTATTTGAGTACTCAGACCAGGAAAAGAAAATAACCTCATTCGTACAGATGGCCGCATCAAATTATAGAAGGCCTCAGCACAACAGAGGCAGAACTGCGGCAGTCCTCTGCTCAAATAGCCATTTTCTCCTGCCCTCAGAATAGTGATGCTGGTCCTTGGAGCCTCGGGGCTCACACCATCAGCCCTCTGCTTCCTGGGCCTTTGCACTTGGCCCAGAACTTTCATCATTGATGCGCCTGGTTCTCAGGGCTCCCATTTGAACTGGAGGCTGTCCCGCCATTTTCTTTGGTCTTTGCCAGCCTGCAGATGGCAGATCATGAGATGTCTTAGCCTCCGCCATTATGTGAGTCAATTACTCTCATTCTCTTGTGTCTGTCTATCTATCTATCTATCTATCTATCTATCTATCTATCTATCTATCTATCTATCTTTCTATCTTTCTATCTTTCTATCTTTCTATCTTTCTATCTTTCTATCTAGCTGTTTATCTATCATCTATTTATCTGTGTATCTATCCATCCTTCCATCCATTTATCATCTATCTATCTATCTTTCTATCTTTCTATCTAGCTGTTTATCTATCATCTATTTATCTGTGTATCTATCCATCCTTCCATCCATTTATCATCTATCTATCTATCTATCTATCTATCTATCTATCTTTCTATCTATCTATCTATCATCTATTTATCTGTGTATCTATCCATCCTTCCATTCATTTATCATCTATCTATCTATCTATCTATCTATCTATCTATCTATCTATCGATCTATCTATCTATCTAACTTCTATCATCTATCTATCACCTATCTGCCTATCTATCTATATATCTACCTATTTATCTGTCTATCTTCTATCATGTATCTATCTAATCTATCATCTATCTACCTACTTGTCTACAGATCTGTCCTGTTCATTCTGTTTGTCTGGAGAACTCTGACTAATTCCATTTCCTAAGACTTCCCACGGTGGGAATAGACCAGCAAAGCAAGGATTGGAGAACAGTGTGGTAAGTGTGGTCCAGGAATGTGCATGCAGGGTACATCGCAGATGCAAACACGGGAAGACAAGGATCAGAGTGGGAGAGGCACAGTTTGGGGAAGCTTCAAGGAGTACATTATCCTGAGATAATATTAAATAGATAAGATATTCACATAAAGAACATTACAGTTGATAAGAATAGAAAATGTGAAGGCACAGATGAAGGATCTAAAAATGGTTGTTTGTGCAGAATCCCTTGAGCGGGGGATTTTTTACAGGGCATTCACAAAATATAAAGCTGGAGAGACAGGTGGGTCCAGGGCAAGAAGTATCTGAAGAGTTAAGATAATTCCTGGAGAACGTTTGAAAAACCCTTAACAAATAGGTACATAGCAATATGAATATACATTTTTCTCTATTTTTCTTTTCCTTCCTCCCTCCCTCCTTCCCTCCATCCCTCCCTCTTCCTTCCCCTCCTCTTTCTTTCTAAATTTAAACAGGATCTCCCTGGCAGGCCTGGAAACTGAGTATGTAGACCAGACTGGCCTTGAACTCACAAAGATCTGCCTGCCTCTGTCTCCCAGGTGCTGGAATTAAAGGTGTGCACTCCCAGTTTGAATGCACATTTTCAAAAACACTGACAAGATTCAAACTACAATGATAAAGGAATGAAATTTCTTATCTGAAATCATTTGCTCTGCAGAAACTTGTAAGAATATATATATATATATATATATATATATATATATATATATATATATATTCGATATGAAAAATCCACAGTCTTGCCAAAATGTCTACTTTAAGGGCTCCTAAAGATTTTCAAGGACTAACTTAAAGATGGTGCCTTGCCCACCCCGCTCCATGCTGTCCTGATTCAACACAGGGAAGCAATGAGGAAGGAAAGCAGCTTGGCTGGTGACGACCTGGCATTCTAACACCTAGTACACAAAGGTGCACAAAGATTCGCACTTGGTCCAGGCTGAGCATCAGGAAGTAAAGAAGCCATCCAGCTGGGGGAGGAGAGCTTCAAGTACAGAATAGTCATCTTCTTCATTGCTAGATTTTAAATCACCTAGGAGACACACTTTTAAAAGCATACCAGTGATAAAAAAAAAAAAATGACCACGATATACAGTAAGAAGGTCTTACGGTAAGTTCATACTTAGCTGACCTTTTGTCCATTTGGAATCTGGGCTCTTCCCAAAACCATCCACTTTTTCTATTGTGCCTAGTCCTTGCCTCCCACCAATACACCTAGTTAGACCCTGTTGGCTGCCATGATAGAAGGATGCAGGCATGTAACACAAGCTTGGTCAAGTTAGTCTCCCCTAAGGCTTCTAATGTTGAGCCAAGAACAGAGCTAGTTCCCATCTTGTGAGGAAGCACTCAGTCTTCCTGGTTATTGAGATATCAGTGGTGGGTCTTCCATATATGTCAGTGACTTTCCTTCTATTTCTACCCAGTCTGCATTTTTTATAATAAATGGACATTGGATTTTTGTAATGCATCTGTTAAGATAGTCATGGAATTTAGTCCTTATTTAGTTAATATGGTGTATTACATTGATCCATTTAAAAATGTTAAGTCAACATTGCATCCCTGAAAAAAAATACATCCCACTCAATCATAAGCATAAACTTAAACTAAAAAAAATACAGCATATTAATAGACTACACACCACAAAAAAAAGATTACTCATGGGAAGAGGAGCATGTGTTCAGCATAGTATATGCACAAGTTACAGTAATCTGATGGCTGTGACCATTATAAATATAGTTTGATGTTTCAAATTTACTGGCAGGAATTCCAAAGTGTGTGATTAATGACAAAATGCTAGGACAGCTTTATAGAAGTGAATAGGAATCGCTTTATGGAAGTGACTATATACAGTGAGTAAGTTGACTTTAATTGTCTCTTCCAACTATAAACTTTGCTAATTTCTGTTCGTTAAGCATAGTGAATCTTCATCCGTGAGCTGATTCTTCAGCACTTAGACTCATTCGTGATGAGTAACAGAGAACTATGTGGGTGTCCCCATATGTGACAAAAAAAAAAAACAACAAAAGGATGAAGATGTTGAAGGGTGACAGCTGGGAGATAAGAGTCTAAAAAAGATTTAAAGAAAGAAAGCAAACTTAAGAAGAAATTTGATGGAAGAAAAAAGAAGAAAAGAAAAGGAAGCCAAAACAGGGGCTTATTTAAGAGTCAAATCAGGGTGAATTTTCTCAGTGGTTCATGGGTGATGTGGCCAACCATCACTTTGTGAGAACCCTCATTAGCTTTAACAGAACATTTTGAGAATCATCTCCCAGCCCTCCTTGCATGTGTGTGGTTAACAGGTGGCTGACATACTCTAGTGTTGACACCAGGCACTCTGACATTGTGTTTGTGCCCATTTTAGTGACAAGCCACTTCTTCACCTATAACCATTTTGTTTTCATTATTCATCCAAACTTGGGTCACTCATGAAGTATGTCAACTTAAAATGTCACTCTTCCCACTTATAACAAGTCATTGAAATGTCATCACCCGTTAGAGTGGGCTAACTCTTATACCCTCTTATGTCTGTCTTCATTAACTCTTTCCTGTGCTTCTCCAAAGAGTGTGTAAAGAAGATGCGATGCAAACTTCAAGGACAAGACCTACAAGTTGCAGAAAGGAAGAAACAGCATGTTGTTGGTGTTTTGTTCATAGCTTATCATTTGCTACTTAAATCAGTGGTGGTAAATACTATCGTGCACATTGGTCTGAGATGCAGTGATGTGACCTCAAGCTGAGGAGCTTACAAAGAGCAGCACTCACAATTCTGGAACCTGAGAAGTTCAACATCAAAGCCCTAGCAGATTCAGTGTCCGGAGAGCCTTCCTCCCTTGTTTGCAGATGGCAAGTCTGGGTTGTGTCTTCTTTCAATAGAAGATACAAGGGGCTGGGGGCAGAGTTATAGACTGAAAAATGGCCCACTGATCTCACTGATGACAGCTTCATCCTCACAGCTGATGTTGGTGACTACATTTCAGCGTATGAATTCTAGGCAACATGAATATGGAGATATCATTGCAGCATGGAATTATCATGAAAAGGGAACCTCTGAAATGGAAAGCTTTCAGCCAAGTGTTTGGGGACACTGGCAAGAGCAACTGCTCACAACATAGGGGTCTAACATCTCTGCACTGTGCTCACCCTGTGTTGGTGGTTCATTCTAGAGTCCAGTGGGGCAGGAATTCTATCAATCCTCTTCTCTCTCTCCCACACTTGCTAAATGGCCACAACCCAACCTGAGCTCCACCCTCAGTGCCTCTCCCATGCCCCTCCCAGTTCTCTGCCCCCAAACTGTACTCAGTGCCAGTGTTGTTGAACAATTTGTTTCTCTTCATCATTCTATTCCCTGGCCGAACCAGATAGTATCAATTTCCTTTCACCTCATCAAAATAGAAGTTGGTTTCCTCAATAATTTTCTCTATTCAGTACTACTAGATCATGACCTGTGCTGGTTGGTTCCTGTCAAATTGACCCAAACTAGAGTCACTTGGGAAGAGGGAACATCTGTTGAGGAATTACTTCCACCAGACTGGCCAGTTATCAGGTATGGGAACATTTTCATGATTAATAGTCGACATGGGAAGGCCCAGCTAACTGGGCAGGTGGTTTAGCTTGTGTAAGAAAGCAAGCTACGAAAGCCATAGAGAACAAGGAGGTGAGCAGCATTTCCTACTTGGTGTCTGCCTCAGTTTCTGCCTCTGGGCTCCTGCCTCGACTTTCCCCTTCATAATGGACTATAAACTGTGAAGTGAAATAAACCTTTTCCTCCCCTAAGTTGCTTCTGGTCATGATGTTTTTCACAGTAAAAGAAATATAACTAAAACACCTTTTAGTTTAAGTTTCTTTATGACCATTATCATGAAAAAATACTGGAATCTGTCAAAGGCCTTTTCTGTGTCTGTTGAGATCATAGTGTGATATGCCTTGAGTGTAGCAGGAATCTTAACAGGTCTTATTAATAAAAACAAACCTGGAGCCAGGTATTGGGGTGAATGCTGGAATATCAGAGAAGCAGAACAAACCACAGCCTCCTCACCTCACCAATTCCTCGGCTGATTCTGTTTCTTCAGACTGGAAACTTCTATGTCCTCATCCAAAATGGGTTTCAGCTGAACTCCTCCTCAAAAGCCTAAAAGCTTAACCAGCTAAAAGCTTCTAGTTTCTGGTCTTCACGCCTTATATACCTTTCTGATATCTGCCATCACTCCCTGGGATTAAAGGCTCACTTCTTGGGATTAAAGGCGTGTGTCACCATGCCTGGCTGTTTCCAATGTGGCCTTGAACTCACAGAGATCCAGAAGGATTTCTGCCTCTGGATTGCTAGGATTAAAGGTGTGAGTGCCACCATTTTCTAGCCTTTGTATCTAGTGGCTGTTCTGTTCTTTGACCCCAGGTAAGTTTATTAGGGTGCACAATATTTTGGGGAACACAATACCACCACACTTGAGCCCATTTACATAATTTATAACATTTATTGCTTTTACATAGATTAAACCATCTCTGTATCTCTGAAATAAAGCTAACTTGATCATAATAAGTGACATTTTTGAAATTCACAAACTTGAATCCAGTTTGTATTTTGTTTAACATTTTTGTATCTATATTCATCAGAGCGGTTGGTGTATAATGTCCTTGTTGTTGTTTATCTGGTTGGGTATCAAGAGTTTGGCAGTGTTCCATCCTTTCCCATTTTATGGACAAGTTTGAGGACCATGAGTCTTAGTTATTCCCTAAAGGTCTAGTGAAAGTCACCAGTGAATCCATCTGGGCCTGTTCTTTTTTAGTTGTGAGATTTTTTTTTTTTTAAATTACTACTTCGATCTCACTTCTTGTTATAGATCGGCTTAGTTTATCTCATCGTGGTTTAATTTTGGTATGTCATCTGGATCTAGACAATTTCTTGAGAAATTTTCAACTTAGTGGAATATTGTTTGTAAGGTGTGATCTAGTGGTTTTCTGAACATCACTGATAGCTATCACTATGGCTCCCCTTTAGTCTCTACTGGTACTAATTTGGGCCTTCTCGCCTTTTCTCTTGTTAGCTTAGCTAAGGTTTATGGGTCTTGTTTATCTTTTCAAGGAACTAACTCTTTATTTCATTGATCCCTTGTATTTTGTTGTTGTTAGTTTCCATTTCATTAATTACTATCCTCCCTCGTCTTACATTTCTTTCCACTTGCTGATTTGGGGTTTGGCTTGTTCTTTTTTGACAGGGCCTTCTGGTCCATCATTCAGTTATTTATTTGAGCTCTCTATCATTTCTTCATGTAGACAGCTAGAGCTATAAAATTCCCTTTTAGAACTGCTTTCATTGTATTCTAAAAGTTTAGGTAAATGCATTTTCATTTTCATTGAATTCTAGGGACTTTTTATTTCCTTCTTTAATTCTTCAAGAATGCATTCATCATTCAATAGCGTTTGTCTAATCTACATTAGTTTCCATATGTTTTAGAGTTTTTGTTGCTGTTGATTTGTAGTTTTATTCCATTATGATCATATAAAATACAAGGAATTATTTCAATTTTCCTATATTTGTTAAAATTTGTGTTGTTTCCTCGTATATGCTATATTTTTTAGAAAGTTTTATGGGCTTCTAAGACCAATGTATATTCTGCAGTGTGTGGATGAAATGTTCTGTAGATGTCTATTTAATCCATTTCATCTATGATGTCATTTCATTCAGATATTTCCCTTTAGTCTGTGTTGGCCGAGCCTGTAAATTGGTGAGAGTTGGATACTGAAGTCATCCACTACTGTGGTACTGAAGGTCATCTGTGGCTTTACATCTAGTAGTGTATGTATTATGAAAGTAGTTTCACTCATGTTTGGAACATACACATTTAGAATCATAATGTCCTCTCATACCAAGTAAGGGATTACTCATACCAAGTAAGGGATTACTCATACCAAGTAAGGGATTGTTCCCTTACTTGGTATGAGGCAGCCTTACTTTTTTTCACTGGCTTTGGTTTGCTGTCGAGTCCGTCAACTATTAGAACAGAGACATGTGCTTGGCATTCCTTCTCCCGTCCTTTCACCCTAAGGTAGTGTCTGTCTGCTGTGGTGAGCTGTATTTCCTAAAGGCAGCAAACAGGTCTGTTCCTGACCTTCCATCCAATCTACTAGTCTGTGACTTTTGAGTGGGGAATCGAGACCATTGACATGCGGTTATTGTTTAAAAACATGTATGATTCATTCTGTGTTGGTTTTGTAATGTTTGTTGTTTTCCTCTTCTTATACTTATTATTCTAGTGTGGCTTACTCTTTCTTCAGCTTCATGGATGGATTTATTGTTCTCCTCAGTTCTGGAGGATTCTTCCAAGTACCTCTGTAAAGCTTAGTGGTCATGAATTCCTTTAGCCTATTTTTATCATGGCAAGCAAGTTTTTCCTTCCTTATGAGTGATAGCTACTATATCTTCCAGTCCTGCTCTTATCGCTTTAGTTTCATTTGAGAAATCTTCTGCTGTCCTGGTGAGCCTGTATTTTTATGTGACTTGGTCTTCATTTCTTGCTGCTTTCAATACACTCTCTTTGTTCCACATAGTTAGTGTTCTAATTATAATGTGACAAGGAAACTCTTTTCTGGTCTTGTCTACTTGATGTCCTAAATGCCCACAGATGCTGAGTCTCATCATGCAAATGCTACACTGGCCAATTAACAACAATGGCCCTTTTCACTTAAATAAACACACTGGGATAGTATGGTGCGCACCCAGACAGATTAGCTGTGGAAAGTCAGTAGAGCGAATGAGGTGGCTGAAAAGTATAGTCGAGGGAGCATAATGGGTGGGGTGGGGGGTGGGGGAGTAGGTGGGTAGAGAAACACACTGAACAATCCTAAGTGTGGAGACTGACACTGAAAATATGAAATCAAGAGAGGACTTAGGAATTTCTGTGACAGCTGCATGACTTGGACAGTAAAGTTCTCCAATCCCCCACTCTAGCAGGCTCCCCCTGTGTTGTGTGGGAGAGAGAAGAGTGGAGTTGCCGGGCTCTGCAGACTCCTTACTTGTATCTTCTTGTGGGAGGGGAGTTTGCAAGTTCTTTCCTGGTGGTTCCCCCAGACCCCCGTGTCCCACCTTGCCCTTTTCTGATTCTGCAGGTCCAGGGTATGTGAGGAGCAACACTTCCACTGTAGTTTCTGCTGCTTTCTGTGGCAGCTCAGTTCAGCGGGCCTGGCCCCAATTCAAGATCACTTGCCTGGTTCCCTGCATGGTTCCCTGCAGAGCTCTGCCTTGGCTTAATAAGTTCCTTTGCAGGACTTGTCTCTTGTGTGTTATCTTGCCTGTTTTCTTTCAGTGTTTCTGCAGTAAAGCTTCTAATCTGTCATCCTACCTGGAAGTCTCAAATGCTTGTATGTGAGTGTATAGTATATGTGTGTATGTGTATTATATGTGTACATACAAGTACATACAACTGAGTGCAGGCTTACGTGTACCTTAAATGCAAGTAAAACAAGGTCAGCCTGGGGTGTCGGACCTTGCCTTCTGCAGTACTGGAGATAGGTTCAGTTTGCCACTACATATGTGTGTGAGCTCCTGGGAATGCTGCGTGTTGCTGTCTCACCAGAAGAGCATGAGATTACAGATATGCACAACTATTCCCAGCTTTACATAGATTCTAGAGACTTGAACTCATGTCTCCACACTTGCACGGTAAGTGCTTTACCCACTAAACTATCTTCCCAACCCAAAGTTTTTAACCTCAAAATTCTCCTGTTACATTCCTGCTTTTCCCTTCCTCTAAGAACAGAGTGGGCAGATAGCAAAGGGTGAACAAGGGGCAACTTTTATTTGCTACACAGGAATGACTGTTGTTCAAATGGGAAAGTAGAAAGCCAAACAGGAAGGTAGACCCCGAGACCCTCAGCAGCAGCAGCAGCAGGATGCCTGCGGTTGTCCAATGCTACATTCTCAAGATGCCACCAGGAGAGTGCCAGCACGCATCACAGCTCTAAAGTCTTAGAGAATGTCAAGATATCAACTGGGAGCAGTCCCTAGCAAAGCAATCTGGAAATAGCAGGTCACCAGGAACCCCAGCAGGAGTTCTCCTGTCTCTCTCCGGGCTCAAAGGCTGAAGGAAGTGTTCCTTGCTTACAGCTGAAGCAGCCAGCCTTGAAGGTCAAGGCAAGAACCATGGATTCTGAAGCAGAAACAGTGTCTTGGAATAGAAGAAGCAGAAGTTGCAGTGAGTTCCCCCGGGGCTCTTAGTCTTCTTTCTCCAGTGAACAGCCTAGAACCAGGCCCCTGGGATAAGAGACAGGCTCAGGCTGGGAGCCTGACAAGCACAAACCTCAGTGTGTTGTGTCCTAGTATATAGAGCCTGGAGGGCCCTGATTGGCTGGGGAGGGGGTATGCAAATTAAAAGTAAAATAGGGCCAATCAGAACAGAGCTGTCAAGCCAGAAGTGAGTAGAGCAACTGAAGTCAGCCAAAGTGGTTCCCAACCAGGTTGGTGACTCCTTTTCCCTTCTTCTAAGGCAGTGGTAGACGAACAAGCACTCTCTTGTCAAAGACAGTTTGCACCCAGGGATTTCTGTCAATTTCCAGTTGCCGGGATGACATTCTGGCCAACTTGGTACCCAGAGATGCTGCTCTGACCTCTCTCCTTCACTTCTACCACGACCAGCTCTGTTGGAGGATGGATTGTTGCTAGGGCAGACGGATCTTCAATTGTCACTGTGGGCTGTTGGACAAAGCCCGTTCCTGGCTCTATTTGCAGTCAAGTCTTGCTATGTCCACGGGGCGAGGGTG